GGACAGGTGGACGGCAGCCTCCTCTGTCACTTCCTGCTCCTCGGTATCTGTAACTCGATGCTTCTTCAAAGCCATCTGCTCACCTTTCATAGGGTTCTAAACCCAGGGGAAAGGCCGACATCACCTGAACTGCTCTGTGTCCTCCCGATTCACACACTTGCCTTGGTGGTACCTATCATTTCATGAAAGACCCGAGTGTGGGCAGGAGACTGTCAGCATTAGATTCTAAGTTCTTTGCTCCTGGGATCTTCTCAGTCTTGGATGGGATTAACTATTTAACCTACGCTAGGAGAAGAATAGAAATAGTTCTTGGGCTGCTCCGAAGCCCTTGCATCAGTGGAAAACTACTTTTCCCTCCTTTACCCTCTAAGAGTAAGGGTTGCTCGCTTATTCTGACCTGTCTTTGCTGGTACTTACAACCAACCACTTAGTTGCAGTTTTATGTATTCTTTACTAGACTTTTGTTCACAAAACTACTACACCAGAGCTAAGAGAATGACAGGTGTCTGAATGGGACAGCTGGGACAGGCTTGGCACTAGGTACAGATAACTGTTACATGGGACAGGGGGTCAGATGTCTCACACTGTAAAAGGAAATTCACCATCGAGCAAGATCAAGCCTTTGAAACAAGCAGCTTCTGTCTGGGGAATGAAGCCCACAGCAGCTGTCACAAGAGCATTACAGCAGGACGGCAGGGCCATGACTCCGCATGACTGCCCCTTCTCGAGACACTAGCGTCCTCAGAGGAATGTAGTGATGACCATGAAGCCATGAAGCAAATTATTACAAGACATTTATTACAAATGTCACAGACATATTCATAAAGAAAATTAGTTAAAAAAAAAACCAACAGAACGAGAGAGCAAGTGAGAAAACAAGAAAAGCCAGGGCTTCAATATTACACCTAAAACACAGGGAGATGCCATCTTTATGAATAGGTAGAATCAACTACATTCTTAAAATAGTTTTAGTGCGCTGCATTTTTAGAAAAGGGACACACCCTTACCCCCAAGAAAAGGTTCCTGAAACAATGAACAGCTTGCGTGACTACTCAAATGTGACAACCTGCCTGCTACCAAACCCCAACTGAGAACGATGCAATCTCGTGTGTTAAGGATAGGTGACGGCGGCCCACCCACCGCCCCCTAATGGTGAACCTGGTGAAAACAGAGGCTCTGCTTTCTGAAAGCAGACCGCACTAGCCATGAAGCTGGTCTCTGCCTTCACAGACAGCTTTTCTGGTACCTGATTAGACTTGTGGCAAAGTCAAACTTCAATCAGATAGTTTTGGTATTAAAGTTAAATTAAACATTAATGTTTTCTGCCAAATCCATAAACTAAATTACCTCTCAATGCATTAAAAACAATGAGGTAGGCAAAAAACAAAACAGTAACAACAACAACAACAAAAAAAACCCCACAGGAAAGTTGACTTTTTTCCCATTCCAGCTGCAGATCACGGTGGAGCTGCTGTTGCTCTTCCAGGCTTAAACAGAAATTAAACCTTTAGCAGAGGCCGTGCTAATACTGTCACACAACAAAGTTCTGGCCATCGAACAAGACACACACATTTTCTTTTTCTCTTTCTTTTTCTTTTTCAGAACCATCTGCACAATTTAGGCAAAACTTGGTACACAGAAAATTGACTCAGTTCTTGGCCAGGACAACCCTCTCCAAAAAATTTCAAAGAAACAAAATGGGACCCCTTAACCCACCCCACCCACCCTAGCCCCACCCACAAAAAGTTATCCTAGTAGCTGTGTCTTTCACATTTTATAAATATTAACTTCTTAAACCTGCACCTTCTTCTTTGTCCACATATTGTCACATTACAAAAAAAGAAATGTCAATTAAATACATTGTTAATGTTACTATATTAAATCTGTTCTCTGCTTCAGCAAGCTGCTTCTTACACCACTTACACCTCCTTGTGCCCACTGCCAACATCTGATGGTGTGCTCATCACAACCTTCAGACACCCACAGGCCAGAGTCACTCAGAGACAAGGAATCCTGGAGCTGTGGAAAGACGCTCTTCCTGGTCTGATGCTCATCCCCAAACACTCCTAGCACCGATGGTAGAGTCTAAACAGCACCAGCTGCAATGCAGCCTTGATTTATTTTCGAGTAAGGAAAAGGAGAGAATGGGAATAAACTGGCAAAAAGTGTAGGAAGGAGGGGAGAGGACCCAACACGCAAGAGGCCTGCATATACAGCTGTCCTGGCTGCACCGGCGCAGCTCTGAGCTCCAGTTGCAAGGAATTCCAAGTTCTCAAGGGTCTTGACGACTCCGGGGGTCAGTGATCCCAGCTCACACCACCTCTACCAGCTCAGAAGAGAAGTCCTGCCTAAGGTCATGAAATAAACCTGACTGCTGCCACCAGACCGAACAGAGGCGAAGAACACCTGCAAACACAACCAGAGAGGGCAGTTAGCAGGTCATCTGCTACCTTCCAGTGCCTAACCCCCCAAAATATGCCTAAAAAGCAATGTCTAAAAATTTTCCTTAATTTATTTTAAAATCAACCAGAACTGCAAGGAGATTCACTATCAATGTCCATAAAGAATAAGCCACTTATAAAAAAACAGCCACAACTACATAGGAGCCATAAGGAAACATTACCTTGTCATTGCGTTCACATAAGAATTTTAGTCTTTGAGCCCTTTTGTGCATAAATACACCATCCAAGTGGCCGGTTTCCACAGACCGTATCTCGATCGCCTTCTCTCCCCAGCCCATGGTCTGGTTCGATCGGATATATGCTTTAGAGAGGGGAAAAGTGTTAGCATAGCAGACTCGTGACAAGGTGCTTGTGATGCACACGCAGGTCTACCTGAGTGTCCGGCATGTGAGGACTTTGGTATTTCAGGAGTTCTGCCTCGGGGCTGGGCATCTGTTCAATCACTGAAAGCCTACGTCCTGTGCGCAAGGCCTGGGTATTGATCAACAAGGGGGAGTGTGCCTCTATACCCCGTCTGTCATAGGAAGTAGTCATATGAATTAATAATTGAAAGAACTAATTTTCCGTAGGCCTTTAATGCAACTTCTGGAAATAGACATGGTGTGTGGATTATCACACATGTTTCATCAGCACAGCATGAGAAAAGGTGGGGAAGAAATGACGAGCAGACAGTTCAGGGATGTAAACACAGTCATGAAATGGCCAAACACCAGCCTCTGCTCCTGGACACGAAGCAGAAGACTGGGCAAGAGGCTGTTTCTAACTGGGGTTCTGCCGCTCAGGACGTTTCTATGATTTGCTTCAGTCTATAAAAATTGGTCAAAAAAAAAAATACCTGCCCTATTCTATATAGAAAAGTAAGGGTCAAACAAGAGTCAGCAGTAGCATAGTTGTTAAAGGGACCCAAGAATTACGTGGGTTTTGTCTTATTTAACCTTCTCCCATCTGCTGATGACCACTAACCAACCAGAAGGTATGAGCAACACCCAAGTTAGCACAATAAACAGATGTGCTCTTAGTGGGCTCCTCTCACAAATGCCTCTTCATGATGGATGCATCATTACCTACAGATGTTGGCATCTCTCCCCACTGCAGAACCACATCCTTGGTGATCCTTCCATACGTGTTTACATAAACCCCCTCATCTTCATAGCACACCAGAAGCTCCATTCCATCCGTGTTGGGGAGAATAATGATTGCATGGGGTTTGATGCTACACTGAATCTAGAGAACAGAAACAAGGAAGCATGTTTGTAGCTATCTCCATCCCCATGAAAATGCTCAATAAGACTGTCTAGAGAATGCAGTAGTCCTATACCCCTGGCCATACCGCCCACAAATAGGCAGGAGTCTTGGGAAACCCATGCAATATACAACCCCAAGTCTACCATTTACAGGTCATGGACTCTACTGACTCACAATTTTTGAGTCCTGGAAACATAACTGGATAGTAGACTCATTTGAGAAACATTCCCAACCCAGGGTGTTCTGGCCTGACAGCAACTGCCCAACTCCATCCCATGTTAGTTAAAGCAAGTGCTAAATGGTCTTCAGGCCCTAACAGAGCCAGGAAAATGCTGCTTCATTTAAATACTCACCCTACGCGCCGGGGAAATGAGGAAACCCTGCTTGTGTTAGTTCACTAAGCAGAGTAAAGGGAAAGTGAAAACAAAGTGAAGCCAGTCAACCAACCATAGAGTGTGGGTTCTTTCTTACGTGTGTTGGTAGATAAATGTCATAGACTGAGCCTGAATCCACATCAACAGCATGGAATCCAGCACAAGATCCATAGATCACTTTCAACCTCTGGCCTTCCTCAACAGTGAGATCCACCAGTAATGGTTTATGTACCAGTTCTCCAAATGACTACAGAGATAACCAAGACAGAAGCAGGAAGACAAACTTACAGCATCAGATAAGAAGCTGGCTGTGGGCATCTGGTTTATCACATGGCATTGTTAATTAGCCTCTGGAAAATACTTCTTCCCTCCCACCTAGCAGGAAAATGCTCTGTCTTATGTCTTGATTAGAACACGTGCAAAGTCAACAATGAGGAGCTGGCACAACAGGATCTGAATATTCAAACGCAGCAGTGAAATGGGAAGCTGTAGGAGTCACAGCACTGAGAACCTGGCTGTTGTTAGGAGCTACAGACTGTGTGACCCGACTGGGAGAGCTCCAGTTCTTCACATCAGCACAGCTCACAGGACCGGGACAACAAACTTAAGGACTTAGTGACGTAAGGCAAAGCAACATGCACAGTGCCTGGCATGTAGGAATACTAAGACTAGATTCCAGAAGACAATGTAGGTAAATTTCCAATTTAAATTGAATCTATCTTTACTCAGTAATACCAGATTTACCAAAAATGCTAACCCCACTGACTCAATGATTCACTGGGGAAATCAAGCAGAAAGCACCCCCTTAATTCAAATTTCCCAAGTAACTGAAACTTACTCTTTCAATAAACTATATCAAAATTACTTTAAATGCAATTATTTTAGATGAAATATCTTGCTTCTTAACCTCTACTAAAATGTCCCTGCACCACTCTTAAGGCTCTATATTTCAAAATAGAAATAATTATTATTTCTATCTAATGCTAGAAGAGTATCAGTTATAATTAAGAATTTTATGCACTGGATTTAGGGCACTCCCTAAAATAAATTACTAAAAATATACACAGGACAATGACTGTCAGTTCTCTGCATCTGGTGGTATGGACGCTTATGGATGTGTTCCATATACTACCTTTTATCAGACACACGCAAGTAAATATAAGACCAATCATGAGTGAGCATAAGCTCACACTCTAAACAGCTTTTAGGGTTTTTTTTTTTTAGCTTTTTTTTTGACAGTTATTTTACATTAGTATGTACTTCATATTAGCTGTTCAGGCTTCTTAAGCCAATTTAAAACTGGTGGTTTTACCTTAAAGGCCATAAACTTGTGATATGGCTTCGGTGCCCACGCATAGACTTCCACAGAACTCTTCAAAGCAATTACCAGAAATTTGATTCTTTCATATTTTACTGAAATAAACATAAAAGTCGAGAGAAATACTATCAGTATTAACACAGAGCCACAAATTCTTTCAGCAGCCATTTGTAAACTTTATAAATATGCCTCTTATTGCTCATCCAAAATCAAGAGAGCTCAAGCCACACACTTTGCTTTTCTAGTTTTTCCGTGTGTAATTCACTTCCCTAAGTCAATTATAAAAACACAATAAATAGTTTAGCAGATGATTCTAATGTCTTAGATTCCAAATATTTTATTACCAATGGCCATGCCAGGCAGTTAATCCTAAAGACTAGAGGACTCACTATTACTTCCAAGTGATAATAGTGTGACAGGCCAACCAAGGGGCTGATACAGACAAGAATAGGGAAGGAGCAAAGTAGCAAATGCTGCTTGAGTGATAAAGCCCTTGTGTTCTTTCAGAGCTATTCCTGTTCCCTAGTGTGCCCTAAGCACACGTGATATCTGCTCCACATATCACACAAACTTTCTATCATCACATAGCTACTTCATTAGCTGTGGGTCCAACGACTTGCTATTTGATACAACTCTGTTAAACATCACAGACTGTCAAATGTTCAAAAGCCATACAAAGAATTATAAGAGGCCTGCCAATGAAACACTGTTAATTGACTTTTCTGGAATGATGGAAATTGTTCTATGTGTACTGCTAATCCCTGCAGAGAATACCATAGCTCCTGACATTGAGGAGGTACCAGGGCCACACGGGACCTGAACTAAAGACTGCTAATACTAATTAACTGTATTTTAGCCCTCCGATCTTGTTGGAAAACTCAGAATCATTCCAAATAGTCAGATGACTCCTGTAATAATTATTAACCGATGAGCTGGCATTATAGATAAAGAAGACAACATCACAGATTACAATATCCTGGGGGAGGTGAGCAGAACAATTATGTATAGTCTGCACCTTAGTAAAATATGCAAGCACAAATCAGTACTCAATGGATTCTCTAATCTTAGCCAGCCAAATTCTATAAAATCACATTATCAGTCCTTAAAACTGTAACTTTGTTATGGTTCATTATTTCCCATTTATTTCTAACAAACACTTTCATTTTTCTCATATGGATAGCTAACTTTGTGAGATTCACTGAATGTTCCAAGGGAGGAAAATGCCAATCACAAAACGGTTGACAAGAAACAACCAGCATGCCACAGTCGTTTACATAGAATGACTATGGTAGCTCTGCACAATGGAGTTAATCAAAAATAACAAGGCACAAAAACCAGTTAAATTCTCCAATATTCTACTAGTGACTGCTAAGGGGCACCCAGCACACTCTAAATAAGAGCCGAAAGGTAAAGGGATCAAAGTCTGAGGGCTCAGTATGGTAGCATTTTCTCGAAGAGGTCATCTAGAATCACACCTTACAGAGGAGCATGAGGGCTGTTAAAGAGGGTAGGAGACTCTCAAAGGGGATAGGTGTAGGGAAGACTGAGGACAGAGTGAGCAGGAAGAACACACTGTGCTGTACTTACAGATGAACAATACAGTAAGATGTTCAGATGAGACCCTAACTAAGCTGAAGAGAGCAAATGCTACGGCTCCCTGGGAACTTACCCACTTTATAGTGTACGCATCCTTCCAAATCGCCCACAGTGGTCCACCCTTGCTTCTTCTCAACTTCTGGGTCATTATGAAGGATTTTATTTCTTAACCAGGATAAATAGTAGACACGTAACTTATCCTTTTTGCCTAAAAGATAACATAAAAATTTATATTTTGATAAATATAAGTATTTCATATGCATGGTCAAAAATCAATCTTATCACTAATAACAAAAATATCCAAAAGAAACAGTAAATACATTTCCCCAAGGGAATTATTTAGTATCAGTTTTATCTGAAATTCCTATTTGGGCTACTTCAAGGAGTTTTGAAGCCCCTTAAAAAATTACCAATGGTATAAGCAGGCATGGCTAGGATAGGATTTGAAAGAATAGTGAATCTTCACTTACATGACAGATAATAAACCAAAGAGTAGAAAAACTTCTGGTTTTTTGTATTTTACTCTGTTAATGATAGAATGGTGGGTAGCAGGCGATTGTGCAGCTTGGGATGAAAGCTAGGAACCAGAAAGACCAGGGTAGAAAGGGTTAGACAGCATGGCTTTCTGCTCCACCTCTTGTCTCCTGAGTCTAACACCATTAGCCAAGGATTAAGCCTATAAAATGAGGTCTTCATAAAAAAAAAAAAACCAGAATTACAGAGTTAAGATGAACTTTTAGATAGCAGAACATGTGAGGGTGCTGGGAGACAGTCCATCTGGGAAAGGATGAAAACTTCTTGAAACAATTACAGTGACGATATTGGATAACAAGCCTATTATACAAAAGTCAATTACTTTCCTATACATCAACTGCAAAAAAACAAAGAGTTGAAATTTAACATAATATTCATATTAACACTAAAGAAATAAAATAGGTCAGGTACTGGTGGCACATGCCTTTAACACCAGCACTTGGGAGGCAGAGGCAGGCGGATCTCTGTGAGTTCGAGGCCAGCCTAGTCTACAAGAGCTAGTTCCAAGACAGGTTCCAAAGCTAAAGAGAAACTCTATCTCCAAAAAGAAAAAGGCACAAATCTCACAAAATAGCTCTTTTAGAGATCTATTTGAGGATAATTATAAAATTCTTGTCAAAGAATTAAACATAGAAATACTTTGTGTTCATGGATAGAAAAATGCAGCATCAGTTCTTCCCAACTTGAATTACAGATTCAACAGAATTCTAGCCCAACCCACAGTTGGGCTATCTGTCCATACCATAAACATACTCTAAAATTTATATTCAGGAACAATGCAGTGACATGGTGAACAAAATACTAAAACAAAAACAGAGTTTCTGGACAATTCTTGATTTCAAGACTATACACTCATTACAGTAACCAAGACCATGTGGTTATTAGCAATAGAAATAACAAAACAGTGAAAAAGAAGGGCCCAGAAACAGATGCACACAATGCAATGAACCAATAGCAAAAGGAAGACGCCCCTTCTAAAATAAATGGAATGCTGTGAATGGAGGGAATCTGTTCGCAAGCCTTCAGTGTTCCACAAACATAAATTACAAGTGAGTCACAGACGTAAATGTGAAAATCCAAGTTTGCAGTTTCTAGAAGAAAGCATATACAAATCGGATCTTGGATGTGGAAGTGACTTTTTAGGTAAAACACCAAAAGAGCAATACACAAAAGGAAAAACAAAGTATTTGATTTCACTAAGGAAAATCTCAGTTCCAGTTTACCAGTTCTTCAAGATAGTGGTAAAGAGAATTAACAGAGAAGCCACAGGCAGGGAAAAAATATACAGAGACTCCTTATAATCCGAGAGTAGGGGGAAAAGTAACCTGGTTGCAATATGGGCTAAAGATCTACACAGACACTAAGTAGACAGGCCCCCAAGGGAGAGACAGAGAAGGCAGAAAAGCTTGAAAACACACACATCACTAGGGGATTCCCCATTTAAACAAGAGACCACTCCACTAACCTATCAAAACAGAAAATCCAAAACACTAATGATCTTGGGCATTAGCAATGAGGTACAGAAGCCCCCTTCCCTATCTGTCAACTGTGAACATGGAGCCACTTTGCAAGACAGTCCAGCGGTCCTCCAGACTAATGAAGCTTTTGTCCTGTGTTTCTGTTAGTTGTGTTACGTGGCTTTTTATCAAGTACAGGAAATGAAGTAAAAAGCTGTACACAAATGCTTACCTAGCAGCTTTCCCTATAACTTCCTACCCAGAAGCACCAAGATGCCATTCAGTGACTGGACAAATAGAGAAACACCTGTATGAGGGGCATTTAGATATAAAAGAGACAGACACCAGCCCACAAAAAACATGAAGCAATCTTAACTTCAAAGTGTATTTTCAAAGGAAAGAAGTCAGTCCACATACTACATGATCCAAACAGTCATGCAAGGTTAGCGCTATATGAATCCAATGATACAACATGTGAGAATCGTAAAGTAATCAAAAAGTTGATCAGCTGTCACCAGGAACTCAGAACAAGGTATAAATAGTACCTTTTCAGGGCACCAAAACTAGACCGACAGAATAATGGAATATATGTGTCATAATATAGTTGTCAAAACCAAGTTAATACCCTTCTGCACTGCTGGTGGGAATGTAAGCTGGTACAACCCCTTTGGATGTCAGTATGGCGATTTCTCAAAAAATTAGGTAACAACCTTCCTCAAGACTCAGTAATACCACTTTTGGGAATATATCCAAAGGATGCTCAATCGTGCCACAAGGACATGTGCTCAACTATGTTCATAGCAGCTTTGTTTGTCATAGCCAGAACCTGGAAACAACCTAAATGTCCCTCGACTGGATAAGGAAAATGTGGTACATTTACACAACGGAATACTACACAGCAGAAAAAAATGACATCTTGAAATTTGCAGGCAAATGGATGGAGCTGGAAAACATTATTTTGAGTGAGGTAACACAGACACAGAAAGACAATTATCACATGTACTCACTCATAGAGGGTTTTTAAACATAAAGGAAACCGGCCTACAGTTCACAATCCCAGAGAACTTAGACAACAATGAGGACACTAAGAGAGACTTACATAGATCTAATCTACATGGGAAGTAGAAAAAGACAAGATCTCCTGAGTAAATTCAAAGCATTGAGACCTTGGGGGAGGGTTGAAGGGAAGGGGAGAGGCAGGGAGGGGAGCAGAGAAAAATGTAGAGCTCAATAAAAATCAATAAAATAAAAAAGTTAATGCACTCCATAGCAATATAAATTACATTTTAATTAATAATAACAATAAAAAATAATGAACTACAAAAAAAAGATGTTAGAAACAGGGACAACTGGGTGCATGTAGTGACTCTGCACACCTTCCCACATCATGCAAACTCACAATACTGCTGTGATTATTTAACCAGTAGTTCGAGAAGGAGCTGAGTTCGGTATGTAAGGCTAGACATACTGACTGATGCTATAGATTCTGCTTTACAAAACACTTACCAGATATTGTCACCAAGACATTCAGGCCCTCGAGAACATCCATCTGCTGGAACCGTCTTCTGTTGATCAGAGGATACACTTTCCCTTGGCCACTTCTGTCCAAGAGCATCAGACCGCTCTCTGTGCCAACTAGCAAATTCACCCCTGTTTCAAGAACACAGAGTGGCCTACATTTTAGGCTGTGTTTGCATGGAGCTGTACCATAAGGAAAGGAAACCATTCTCTACTTGAAAGGATGATAGCTTCCTTAATTCAGAAAGAAATACTCAGAACAGTGAGGTTAAGGCAAATGATTCTTGCCACAAGAGGAACGACAGTGACATTCACTTAGGTATGGAATGGACTGAGAAAACCCTATCACCTTACCTGTGTCCACCGTCCTTCTGTCCTGAGTGTACTGTGAGCTCACTGTTTCTTAGGTTTTAGAGATCTGGCCACATTGAAAAAAACCTTCCTCTGATACCATGGCCTCACAACTGGCAAACTTCTGCTTCTCCTAGTTGGGAAGTAACCTGCTCCCATTTACTTTCTCTGCTTCTTCCACGGACACTGAAGTTGCTGCCCATGTATGTCAGGTAACAGTCAGAAACAGTGGCTCCTACTGCCACGCTTTACTTCCTTATTCTTCCACACACTACAGACTACCATGCTTTTTGGACCATTTTAAGGCTGATAGACACAGGCTTCAGACTGTCCAGATAACTTTCACTTTCTTTCAAGTGTTCATTTTCTTTAAAACTCAGGACTCATGCTGTATCTTTAAAATTTACATCTCCCAAGATGCAGTGTCAAAATCTCTGGTCTGGCGATCAGGACCCCACACTTCTCCAGCCAGTAGCCTTCTTCCACTAAAAGCTTCAGTTAATATTCAATTTCTGGAGGCAGTGGACTCTCCCTCTACATTCACATATTTATCCAAATGTTTGCACTTCTTTGCTCTAAAACCTTTACCTTTGAAAGCATCTTCAAACATGTAGCACTGACTTATGCTTCCAGCAAACTAAACACATTCACTCACGTCATCCTCTAGGCTGGGTATAAATTCAGCAAGACAGATACCCAAGTCTTTGTGCCCTTACAGCATCCCCGCTAGGTCAATCATCTTACACGCATGAAAGGGGCAGTGGGAGAAGTCAAGACAGTTTGTTAAAGGGTAGCAGTCTACAAAACAGCTTGGGAATATTTTAAGGGCGTCTCTACAATTTGGGCATTTCCCCCCAGTATTAAGTCATTATCAGACTTGTGTGACTACTAAAGAATTTGTTACTAAGAGCTTTGCTGGAAGTTTATGAAGCTATAAGGACACATGCTCTAAGTCAATGCTCTGATTCATCCGCCAATGGACTGTCCACAGAAATACCACCTATGTAAATAGACTAACACTAGGAACCAAATAACCCTTGCCTTTATCTTGCTTCTTGTCAGGCATTTGATCACAAGTAAGGAACTAAGGTCAAAGTCCTTTTAATGATCAACACACTAGACAAAAGTACAGAAATGAGGTGGGCCTGGAACTTGCTGGGACAATAGAGGAACATAATGTTAACAATAAGACTGCTCCCAGGCCTAACTTTTCTGGATAAAATGACATCATTTGCTAAGCATTTATTACCAGTTTCAACATAACTGACATGTTTAACACAATCTCTATACCAAATATGATGTAACATATAAACTCCATTAAAATCTTTCAGTATGAATAAATAACTGACAGTCTGCTTCCTGAAACAACGGCTACTGACGTCTACTGAGCAGCAGCAGCGTGCTAGTCACACCTGTGTGCCCGGCTCCTGCTGCACGGAGCCCACAACCCCTCACATAGCTTTAGTTTCCCTAGCAGTGGTTCTCAGTCTTCCTAGTGCTGCCACCCTTTAACACAGCTGTGGTGACCCCAACAGGAAGATTATTTTCGTTGCTACTTCATAACTAATTTTGCTACTGTTATGAATCATTATGTAAATATCTGTTTTCTGATGGTCTTAGGTGACCCCTGTGAGAGGGTCATTCACTCTCTCCAAAGGGGTCCTGACCCTCAGGTTGAGAACCATTGATCTAGCCAGCTAATGGTCCTCATTGTGTGCCATGAGCTTTAAAACAGTCACGACACGGCAGAGTTCCTGACCCCAAGAGAGCAGCTGTATTTGCTATGAGTATGCATAGCTCTTCAAAAGACTTTGGGAGACAGCTGGGCAGGAGCTTCAGAGCCAGGCGAGAGAGAAGGGCAGGCGGTGTGGGCGAGGACAAGGGCTGGGAACGTTTTTAGGGTCTAAGGGTAAAAGCTGAGCCCTTGTATTGGTATCACTTGTTTCTCCCAACAACAGAAAGGAGCATGCAAGGCTGGGCTGGGGAGGGGAAGGCTGATTTACGACTGCATGATGTGGTGGCTGTGATTTCAGGGACTAGGACTGTAGGAAGTATGTGCTGTGGACCCCTCCAGGAGACTTCATGTCATTTGTAGGTAGAAGCTGTGTACTTTTAAAGCAGAACACAAAGCGTGAGACTAGATGTCAGGGTAAGGACAGGACAGAAAGGCGAGTTTGAGTTTGAGAAGGCAGACCTGAGTGTACAGCAGGCTCCCTGCTACTGCCCTGAGTGCACACATGTAAGAGAAGACAGGCTGACAGTCCCTCTGCAGACTGTTTCTAAGAGTGTCATTTGGAAACTGGTCAAAGTCACAGGCAAAAAGGTGAACAGAAGCATCTCCACTTCATTCTTCCTGTGCTAAGGAAGACCTCCTGCTTCATCCTCACTGTGCACCTCCACAGGAGAAATGGAGACAAGGCATGCTTTCCAAATCTACTGCTGGAGTGACTGCAGCCACACACACACACTCTGTCCCACACATACTCGGCTAGACTTAAGGCACGGGACAGCAACCACGGAAATCCTAAGTCCTTCAAAAAGAAAAAAAATCTCGCACTGTTCAAACAGTGGTTCTCTGAATGACACAATAAAACCACACAATTAGACAGCAGTGAGATACCTACCCCATAAGGCAGCACACAGTATCTCCGAGTTAAACCTCTTCTTGTATTTACGAATCTCAGGGGTGTCGCTCTGTGGTCTAGTGTTGGTGGGGTTCACATTGACCACCGAGCCTTTCCGAGTAGGATCTTGCCTTATGGCTTCTGGTCTCATTCCATCACAGGAAAATCCCACTGAAACACAGCACATGTGAAAGCTTAGCTCCTGCGCGCTCACAACTGCCCGGCTCCCTCAGCATGCCCCAGATAAACAGCCGCATGCTCTACCTGACACTGTCTCAGAGAAAAGGCGTTCTGTAAAGCATACATGGAAAAGGAAACTGACTGTGAGGCTCACTGCTAGACAGGCAATGAGAGTGGTATGGACTCCTTAGCAGAGGTCTGTGCCATGAGCAACCATGCCATGCCTAAGCCACTTGGGAAGCTACACAGGGGACCAGGTCCTGTCTGTCAGCTGCTTTCCTTGTTGCTGCTGTACTTACCCACGGAAGTAACTGTCGTTCCACTAGATGGAGAAATCTGTAGTAACCTGGGGTCTATAAAAGGTGTAAAGGAGGAGGAAGATTTGTGTTTCTGGAGTGTGCTACTAGCGGATTGAGTCTGCAATGTAAATTTCAATTTCATTAATATAAGAGACATTTAAAAAGTGAACATTAAAGACCATTTCAGTCAATTTATATATACAGCACCATTTCCCAATTCAAGCCCTCTCTTCCTGCATCATTCCCCAAAAAGACCCAGCGGGCATTTTAACTGCTGTATCTCTTCCTTGAGATGCACACCTAGGGCAGTGATGCTGTAAACTACCAACAAAAGCACCACTTCATGGTCAGCTTTAAAAAAAAGTAATGGAAATTCTTAAACAGCATCCAAAGTGTCTTAACATCAATTCAGTACCTTCTGGATTTACTTCTCATAACACCCCCCCTCCAAAGATATAACCTACTATCTATTGTGACAGACTACTGATGTGATCGCCTATCTACTGGGATAGACTACTGGTGTGATCTCCTATCCACTGTGATAGACTATTGGTGTGATCTCCTATCTACTGTGATTGACTACTGGTGTGATCTCCTATCTACTATGACAGACTACTGGTGTGATCTCCTATCTACTGTGACAGACTACTGG